ATGCAGTTTAGTTAAAAATACATTAAGTAATAAAAAATAAAATAACATTTAAGGATAACTCTTACCTTGTGTTTAGTGTGCCAAGAAGACTTGTAACTTGGGCTACGCAGCTATGAGAAACCAAGGTTTGCCTAAGAGAATTGGCATTGGATAGGTTCTAAAATAATCGGTAGTTTGACAATTAATAAAATTAAATCTCATTTCATATTATTTTACGAAAAATAACGAAAATGTACTGGATTTAACTTACCATCTATAAAATTTGACAATTATTAAAATTAAATCTTATTTCATGTTATATTACAAAAAAATAACGAAAATGTACTGAATTTAGCTTACCATCTATAAAATTTAACCATTAATAAAATTAAATCTAATTTCATATTATTTTACGAAAAAATTAATAAAAATGTACTGGATTTAACTTACCATCTATAAAATTTGGCAATTAATAAAATTAATCTCATTTCATATTATTTTACGAAAGACCGACCAAAACGAAGACAATCTCAAGAATTAAAGGAGAAACTTACCTTATTTTTTTGCTGACATTATGAATAGCAAGAGGTATTGTATTGTGCAGTGGCAACTGACTCGCCGGAAAGCCTACAATAATTTGGTAGTGAACCATGGAATTCGAATATTAACAAAATTAAGAACGACGTTTGTTTGCCCCTCCGAATTAAAAAAATGGTGATCGATAATTAACAAACAAAAACCTTAAATCACACACTTACCTTTTCCGGATGAACTCGTGCCGAACCTGTGACCAACTTGATTATCAAAAGATGCCAACGAATCAAGAAACACTGATTTATCAACAGGACGACCCGCAAGAGTTAGTGAAATGCCTAATAAATAAAAGGGAAACTCATGGTGTTAGTATGCCCAAATTTGAGGGTAAGAAGGGAGATCCGTATTCCTGGCTGGATTGTACAAAAAAGCTATAGGAACTGACGGTTGGACAAGTGATCAAAAACTGAGATGGGTATTTAATTACCTAGAGGAATGTGCAGCAAACTGGTATGGAGGCTGCCAGGATCGTCTCAGTTATTAAAATAAGAGCGACCATAAGAGAAGCTTTGTGCCAGCCTCCCTCCGATACTTTGTGACACCTGAGCAACGACAGCAATGGCAGTTGGACTCGCGAATCTAAAACAAAGAGAGGAGGTGAAAGTTGCAACCTATGCCTGACGATTTTGGGATCTACTAAGGAGAACGATCCCAACGACGACACACCTGAGAAGAGCAGAGTTAAAAACGTTTAAAAAAAGATTGAGAGAGGACATTGCAGTGGCACTTACCATCAAGAGTGACTCCACATTGGATGTGGTAATAGGTGAAACAAGAAAAATCGAGGAGTCTGGTGTATTAGATGAGAAAGAGGAACAAAGGAAAGCAAAAGGGGTAAGGGATGAGATCCAAGAACTGGCGCAACAAATCCTAGAGATATACATTTTTGCTGGAAACATCACGAATATACCAGAGGCACCAATGTTCGTGGATGTCGTGAATGTTGCGAAAAGGGCTATCGTTCTAAATACCACCCAAGAAAAGAAAATGTCTAAAAGGGTTCAACGGACCAACGAAGCCCAAACTGAAGACAGAC